TCCTGTCTCAATGATGAGCCTCGTCACCAGCGCTGGTACGCCTCGGTTGTCGCCATCCTGGACCTGTATTTCGATTTTCAGTGTCCTGACACTAATCTCTCTGCTCGCATCACCTGCAAAGGCTCAGCTTGGCTTATCGTTCTTCGAGACGAGTGATTACCGAGTTGAATGCGGGCCCGTAGTCGGCAACGCTCCTTCTGCACCTGTGGGAGACCAGTATCTAGCAGATGCTGATAACTGCAATAAGATCGCGGATAAAAACCACGATGAAGCGGGTTACTGGAAGACGTTCGAATGAACCGATAACACTTTAAATCATTATGTAACACTCGAGCGCAAGGGGACCTGCGAGTTCACCATCAGGCACGTCAATCAACAATCTAAAAATGATGTCATGTAAGACTACCACCTTTGCCGACTAACAAAGTGTCAATATGCTAAGCCTTTTCGCCTGTCGCGCCATACAGGGTCAGGAACGCAGATCTTGAGGACTACACCAGAATAGCACTCAAGCAAACTACTAATCATAACAAAGTTGCGCAGGATGGTATCTTCGGGTGTCATAATTCCAAAGATCAGAATAGTAATGAGCTCCTGGAGTGGTGAGTATGGAATCCGCATTGGAGCGGTGCATCAAGCTCCAGAGGTGCAATACGGTCTTTATGCGTTATCGTCTTAATCTTTGCAGTCATTACCTCTACCATAAGCGCTTGGGTTTTTTCTTGTTTTCAAGACGAAGATCATCAGATGTGCATTGAGGGGCCATTGTTCTCTATCATGGATGGGAAATTGGTTCAAAGTTCTTAGAGATTGTCTGAACTGAAAGGGAGAAGGAAAATTGGCTTTTTTATACATTGACGTATCTTAGATACTTCAAAAAGTAATACTCCCTTACCTAGTGATCACACAAATCATAGCCACGAAGCATGGGTTCATTATAGGATATAATTATTGCTCGATGTTCGAATTTCAATATGTTTTCGGCTCTGTCACTATTACCCAGCGTCTATGATACTATCCCCCTTTGTGCAAGTAAGATTTCCACGTTCCTGCCTCCGTGTATTATTACGACCGAATGTCTGCAAAACACATATGTGAATGACGAACTCAAAATGCCAATATTGCTCCCAAGCCTTATACTAATAAGTATGACACATCGCCCTGGACTCAATCAAATTCCTTTATCAACATAGTAACATACTATCCGCGGAAGTTGACTGCCTCATCTTTAAGGCCATCTCATATTACACGCGTGGTTCTATCAGTCTGCATGTCTGTAGCGGATTCCATGCTTTCACGCTCGTTCCTACGGGGCAGATGCTTATATTACATCACTTTAGTGAGGTTCAATTGCCAGGATTTACCTCCACCCCCGAGAGATATCGTCTGGACGAGCAGAGGTGGTATAAGACTACAGGGGTGAACCAATGCTTTTGGTGATCGGCTTTGGCACATTACCACAGCCCTTATCAACACGAGTCAGCAGGAGACTACCATGTACAATATGATAGGATTGGCTGATGGACTAAAGAAGACTACAACGACGCATCCTAAAGCGAAGACAGCCAGGTTCAGGAGTGTCTGGGCTATATACAAAGTACCATCATGTCAGGTGATCTGTCACAGCTACCCGTCAGTGTACAGATATTGAGCCGTTGTCCCCTACTATGTAGCAATAACGGAGCATCTATTCTTGCTGTGACCAAACCCATGACGTCTTGGGGAAGAGCAAAATAGCTGCATTGGAACACTCGAATTTCCTCGCGAGCCAGGAGACTCCGTGGACTTGCAGCTCAACAAATGTTGACAGGGATCCTACGGAACAATTAACGACTAACGACGGGCTGCAGTCAATATCTGGCCAACTATTATCAGGACCTCTGTATCACGCTTCTGGAGTAGGTTTGAGCCGAGTTCGCATTGCACACAGAGTGCTCGAACATGGAAGAGCCGATCGCTAGACTCTATTCTGACCATGTACAGTCTCTTCTTGTTTCTTCAGAGCTTTGATGACGACGCTGGGATCCCTGGCTAAGGCGGGTCGCCTGGCCCAAAATGGCACGCATTCCCGACAGATAGGCTCCCCCAAATTTAAGCAATGATCAATGCACTAATAGAACTTGCGCCAGAGGCATGAATATGCCACTGCAATCATATCTTCACTTTTCATTCCAGCATATCGTAGACGCATGACGGCGCACATGAAGATGGTTTCTAGTTCATAGGGAGACGCTCCTGATTTAGATTTATTCCGACCCGAGAGGCTCAAATACAAGCCGGACGACCAACGTACCCTCTGTTAGAGTTGTGAGTGGACGTTAAACATTAAAAAAATGCTACGCTGTCATTGACCTTGCTCCGGGGAATGATCCCGGGCAAGAAGGTGGTCAACATCTCAGCGCGGTACTACAATTCTTCTTGTGGGCATACTACCGATCCTTGTCGGCTAGATGTAAAATATAAGTAGACACTTATCATGTACTACTACCGAAGATGATACTATAGATCGCAACTCACCTACGAGTCCGCTCTCATTATTGATAACTAATATGCGCCCCAGCTCTGTTGTCCTCCTCGTCGCCGTTGGACTTGGTGCTTACGCCGTTCCCCTCGAGGAACGGGCCGTGATCGACTCAGATGCAATTGTTGGCTTCGCACAGTCAGCCTCAGCGCTTGCACTGAAGTTCAAGCCCTGGCTCAAGGTAGTCAATGGCTGCGTGCCGTTCCCTGCCGTTGACGCAGCCGGCAACACTGGGTACATACTCCATTACGCCTACAAAGAGACTTGGTCTGAAGAAAGAGAAAAAGGCTGATGATATCTCGAATAATACAGCGGCGGTCTCGCGCCTACTGGAGACCCGAGCGGTGATTGCTCCAGTAGCACAGGACAAGTGTATACCCGAGGAGCGCAGTATGGGAACTACTACGGACTAATGTACTCCTGGTATGGTCACCTTGCTTTCTGTTGTTGCACCTATGACTATCCGCTCATACGAACACACGAAGGTACATGCCCAAAGACGAGCCATCTACGGGCCTCGGTCACCGTCACGACTGGGAGTGCATCGTAGTCTGGCTGGACAGCGCGACCGCTGCCAACCCGACGATCGCAGGGCTGTCGACTTCGGCTCATGGGGACTTCGACACGATCACCAGCAACTTCTCGCTGGATGGCACGCGTCCCAAGATCCAATACTACAGCATTTGGCCCCTTGACCACCAGCTGGGAACCACGAGCACTGTTGGCGGCGAGCAGCCACTCATCTCTTGGGAGAACTTGACGGCTGCCGCAAGAACTGCACTGGAGAATACGGATTTCGGCAGCGCGAATGTGCCATTCAAGGACGCCAACTTTCAGTCGAACCTGGCTGAGGCGTCTCCATAGTTATGGGTTTGACCGCTACGTGGTGTGCCACATCAATACAAATTTCCACACATTATCGGCTTCGGTGATGTTATCTCATTTGTGTCGCATTGTATAATACGATACTAGTATACAAGGCGTACAGCATGTATGGGCTAGGAGCATCTGCTCAGACCAAACCTCTGTATGGCAGCAGGAGTCTATATCGACATCAAACTCGACGTGAAACTAATTTGGACATGCGAGACAGAAAGCGTGGTCTGCGCAGTACCATGGGCTCTTGTTACCAAGACGAGAGGCGCGCTGCCCAGCCACTGACTGACGAGACTAGAGCGAGGTGTACACAGAACTGAGGGGTTATTATGTAAATAGTTTATGGCGTAAGTCCAACCCTCAGTCAAGGTATGGCCATGTGGGATAAAGGCGGTAGCGATACGTAGAAGAAGATCTAAGATTTCACACCACCCATAATGTGTTACGATTGGTAAAGCACTTTGCCGCTAATGCACAGGCCTTATGCATTAACTGCAGATGGTATTGACTGGGCTGGTTTAAAGCAACGTAAGTTGGCTATTAGTCTCGAAGGGCGAGGATGCCAAATATATCAGGACCTGCGAGTTCTAATCCACTCTGATCAGTATTGAAGCACACATAGTAAAACAATACCTAGACTTCCTTTATTTACGCATTTGAGTTTGGGCGAAATCAGAACTTACCCAGCAAAAACCTAGGCAGCTCATCCTCAGTTACTTGCCCGCGGAAAACCCCGATGTAGCGGGTTTCTAGAGCTTTGCCTAGCACGGGCACTTGACAAGGAAGATTTAGTAGCGACTAGGGGAGGAGTGTAATCTATCGTATGTACACCTTTATAACGCCGCTTTTTGGGTGTGAGAGTGTGATCACAAGCGTATTGAATCTGACGATATGTATAACCTAGCTCCTTAGCGATCTTCTCGTAGGGCCACTCAGCTATTTGGTGCAGGGCTCATATTACAATCCGTTGGTCTCGTGTGAGGGCAACGGACTGCGTGCGGTGGCAAGGTCGTGTCGAAGGGGGTGTCACAGGTCGGTCAATAGGCTGGCCAACAGGTTGGCTTATAGGGTTTAGAAGGTCTGTTATCCGTAACCCGCGTGAAGGCTCCATTAGCAGGTGGGTGTCGATGTCGGTTTCGGATTGGCCGTTGGACATTCGATTTCAAGTGCGTTTTACATATAAAACGAAAGCAAGAAGGCTTTTAGTCCATTAGCTAAGATAGTAGAAAGGGTCTAGTCTAATATTCGAGATATTGTTCTAATTGTAGACTTTGAACAATTTGCTATAGTATTGTTCGTGATGGTTCTGGATATTTCTACTATTATGTATCTGTCCATACTAATTAGTATGTAAAGTTACATATGCAGATAATATAGAGGAAGATCTGCAGTTGAACCCTTGTTGAAAAAAGGGCAAGTAACACGTTAACACCGAAGACCCCGACGAAGGTGCACATCTTATGGTTAGTGGGGCAGCCGCTGTGAGGGGCTACCCTCGAGACTTGATCAAAATTGTGCGTTTACTTACTCAGTGTAGTGCGTACCAAACGGATTTAGCCATATTAATCTCTTTAAGCCAAAAATTTCCAACTTCCAAAGTTGAGGCCGGTTGGCGCAATGGTAGCGCGTCAGATTCCAGTCTTGGAACTTCCTGAAGGTTATCCGTTCGATCCGGGTATCGGTCACATCTTTTTTTTCGACTTCCTATCTGACTGGGAATCATAGATGGTTCGTTAAACTGATAAGTAAAATGGCAGCCGTAGTGACAGTGACGCACATACATAACCACTCAATTCGTGCACCAAAACGAACTAATGGTAGTCAGCTTTATTTCTGATGTGATCGCGCGCTGTCTGAATATCTAATTGTAGACATGCTCCTAAGAATGGCTTAGAGTGACTCTATCTAACAAGACATGGCTTTACAGTCTTAAATTTCATTATTTTGATGATGATTGAGTGTCTGACATATCTAAACACGTAAGGGTATGTATGGGGTGAAGATAGTAAACAAACCTAGTCGGGGATTGCAAAACTATCTCTACAGAGTTTATATGTGCGCGGTTCGATAAGCGCTCGAACTTCTCGGAGAACAACGCAGCTGGTTAAGTCCGAGAGTTCGCTGTGACCATGGCGCATAATCGAGGCTCCGGTCAACAGGGAAACGGATCTGGGTAAGGAAGTCTCCCGGTTGCGATCATGCAAGTCTTCATCAACACAGAGTCTGTCGGGATGTGGTTATGTCCCGAGTGATTCACGCTTTGGAGTTTTGCAAGAATAACGTCCCGAGTGCGTCCAGTAGCACTCTCGTACGATAAGATGAGCGACGCTACCGAGTTTACCACGGCAATACGGAACTGGTCGATATAGGCTTGTGATTTCCATATTTGCTGACTCCATTCCAGTGCTCGCTCATCGAGCGACGGGTCTGGCTTGCGTAGTTGCTCAAGAGCAGCTGCCAGGATCCGAACTGCTACGATACTGATTGACGCATCTGCGATTATCAGTATGAATTGGAAGTATCATAATCCTGCTTAGGAGTTGCCTCGGATTGAGACGCCATAGAAGCGTTTAGACTTCGAAACTTAAGAGGATAAGAGGCTGACTTACGCATAATCAGGATCTGGCTGGTTGGCCAATCTGAGAAGTGGTAGGCTTCGGCCCAGGGCGCTGCGGAGTCGGGTACCGTCCATATGGATTTACTCTCCCACAATGGTTGTATCTTTTCCATCTCGAACTCGCGCAGTCTCCTCAGCAATTCCGCTGCTCTAGCTACTATTTGCGCACCCCATACTGGGCTCGGATTCAGATGAAATCTCCTAGATTCAACCGCCAAAGCCGGCCACTGCGCAAGCTGCATTTGGAGGACGTACAAGTTCTTGTATGAGGGGTGTCTAATGATGCTTGACCGCAGGGCCAATTGCATGGTATTCGCCCAATCCATGTGTGTATAGAAGTTGTCTTTTTCACTCACAATCAGGTGCATTACCAACCTACACATGTTCTCAAAGCATAGGTGAACGTCGAGTTCGTCATTCAGCTGCGGTGGCCCTCTTGCTGCCATCAGTGCGTATAGGCCCGCTGCGTGGCTACTCGACGTCCCAATGCACCTCTGCCCGCCGAAGTCAACATCGATCTGGTGAATCAGCGCAATGGCTGCCAAGGTCCCAGCGTCGTAAGTTTGCCTGGGATTACGAAGTGCCAAACGTATAAAACCTAACGCTTTGCCGTAGGCTTTGCGATCAAGGACCATAGTAGGATTTGGTGTGGTAAACCGGCGTACTTTTGCCCAGGTGCTTATAAAGAGGCTAATCGCTGCACAAAAGGCTGGAGATGATTGTAGGCGTCGTGGTGCGAGGCCCGCCCAGCTGATCCTTAGGACGAGATCGTATTCGGTACCTACGGTAGATTCGATGCAATGTACAACTTGCGCAGCTACATTGTCGATGCAGTTCCGCGGGATCTGGCCTGGCAATGGAACACGCAAGTCTGTTGGTTTCATTCGACGCATTTTTGCGAACATTCCACCACCCTTACCGGCTGCACGTTGGCGAACTTGTAGCAACATGACCTTGTCCTCTTGGGCCTTCTCAAGCTCAATCAAATCGTCTGATAGTAGCATTGCTGAGTTGAAATTTGACCTTTTCTGCCCAGAAGACTCATCTCTCTGGCATCCCCCATGGTCATAGATCTGTGGTGTGCGGTTGCCATTATGGACAAATTTGATTGAGCTGGGTGGGCCGGAGCAGTTTCTCTTTGCTCTGCGACATGTGCCGCAGGTTGGCCAGTCCTCGTCGCACTATGTTCTTCCGTTAGTTCTCGGCTCGCACCATTTGTGATACCGCAATCCGAGCAATCGGCTTTCAGCACACCAGTCAAGGAACACTGAAGAGTCACATTACCTTTACTCTTCGCTTCCTACAATGCTCACAACGGTTGACTTTCGGTATTCCAACCATATTCTAAGCTACTATGTGATACAGCTAGTGAAATGAATGGGGCGGCCTACAAGAGAATTTTGAGGAGTCTAGGCTGGTGAAGCTTTATGTGAAGATTGGTTCAGCGTAACGTACTGGCTGGGAGAGGTGGTGTTCTCGGTTTGTTCGGCGTACTCTTCCGATCTAAATTTGTACCAAGTTCAATAAACAACTATAAAGCAATATTGACTAGCCGTGGAAATGAGAGAGGCTGGGGCTGGATACGAAAAGGTAGATCGAATCATTTCGGGACACAGTCATAGAATCTATTTATAAGAGGTCGAAGTTGATTTTGAAGAGGAACTGGACTGGGACCTAAATTAGCTAAGACGCTAGTGACAATGCCCCATACAGACGAGCGTCATGTTTCCTAAAGGGGGAATTTTCATAACGCCAAGCCGGATAGGATAATGCCAGGTGCCCCCCAGAGATTGTTAAGGCTTGATGATTACATTGCTAAATATTCCAAAGGTCAGCCCTTAGAATGAATGAGTTTAACTACCTTATCTCATCGTTTTCGAGGCTATTGACAATTTTCAACTTTACTAGGTCGGTATGCATACGAAGTAAGATGTTTTGACGCCGTATTTTCGGATACGTAAGCAAGCGACCTAATAGTGACTCTACATATGACTAACCATTTTAAAAGACTTAGTGCTCGGATTGTTTCACTAGTAATTTGTAGACATGTTAGAAATAAAAGGTTCAATGCTCCAAGCATTGCAAATATGCAGGACTGCTATCACCCCAACAGGTGATCCTCAAGGCGCTGTTTTGTTACTATTTCATTAATTAATACTATTGCAGAGGTGTGGATTTGCCAACATAATGTAGTAGTCATCAGGGCCTTGATTAACAAAGCGCTTTGCGCTATATATTTGGATGATCCCTTAAACATTTGTGATCTCTGAAGTCACTATTGACCCATTCCGTGCTAATTCTCCTATTAATTGTGCCAAGGGTCTATATAATATGGCTGGCCCTATGAGGGGCCACAATGCTGCGACAAGTACCCTTATCTGTACATTATTCCATGGTGTTTCTTTCTCGAGGAAGAGAATGAAAAGTTTCGTTATCAGTGAGATGAAGCCAAGACCTAGCTGTGATATCGGACGACGTTAATGGAACGGCGCTTTCTCTTGACACAACATGCTGCATGTCCTGCATGGTCATATTACTAAGGCCTTTACTGCTTAAGTTTAGAGCATCGATACGTGAGAAATCAGCTGTAGACGTCGGCCTAGTTGGTAGAGGAGAATCTCGCTGACGACGCAGATTACCTGTGCCAAAATATGTATTCTCAGGCATCTTCGGGTCTGATATGTTGGTATCTTGATTGGTGCTAGGCCTTGGATCCGTTGAACTCCACCCATACTGCTTTTTAAACTCAATGCCCCTAGATCCTTCGCTATCGTTTTTTTCGTTTGACTTCTGAATAGACGCAGACTGTGCCCTGTAGCGGCCCTTCATTCCTGGCTTGTTTGAAAAACCGTCTCGAAACACTTCCATCAACTGATTCAAAACGAAGAATTCCAACTTCAATTTTAAGGCGTAGCTCAGATTCTGAAGTGAATCTTTGATTAGACGCTGATTGGTGAAGGCCAATAAAACAACGACAACGTCAAGGAAGATGACTGCGACGTTGACGTAAACGAGATCCAGCATCACACGACGCTGGCGGACGTGGAGGCTCGGCTTCAGAATCTTTGCAGCATACCAGATATAAAGTGACGAGATTATGCTCTCTTGAAGAAGAAATGATACTTGTTGAATTCGAGTTTCGATAGAATCGCGTGGGGACCATACAGCGCTCGCACTGAGGTTGCTATCGACGGCCGGAATTGAAATCACCAAGTTCGGGATCTGGACAAACAATGCCGTGAAGATAATCATGCCGAGAATGAATCGGTGAACACTTCGCTTACGCGTGACGAGATGCATTCGAGAGTAAAGCACTAGGCTCTCGGCTGTCACCATCATGGACCAGCCAATGGCATCTACGAGGGCGTAGACTTCCCACGGACAATTTGGGACGAACCAATTCAGGAGATAACCGATACTGTGGAGGATGATCCCCCATGCTAAGAATAAGAGACTCCAGAAGTAAAGACTATGGTATGCCTTGAAAATGTGAAACACATGGACGTGGAATTCGAGAGCTAGCCAAAGTGACAATGTCATAAAGGCCGAAATAAGACCCAACTGAGCCCGAGTAACCGTAGGCACTAACCCATGAACGCCATCGTAAATAGAATAGTCCGGCATAATCGTGCGGTAAGTTAAGCGATAGCCTAAAATGAAACAAAACTGAATTGTTTAATCAAGTCAAATGATTTCTTTCACAGGATTAGTGTCCAGCAGAAGCAGCTTAAGTAGATTTCGAAAAATGAATTAATGGTAGAAAGCGGGGGTATCAGAGGCTGCATCTCGATGACCATTTAGAATGCAACGCGACATATGCATCTGATGATCTACTGTAATATTCCTCATCCTTCTGGCGCTTTTCTCAGTAACTGGATTGGCACTGAAGGAGTTGCACCCTATTAATGGTACTTTACACTTCCACATAATCACTCAATGATACTTAAAGGTGGCGATGTCATCATGCTACTGCGAGTGGTGACCAGGATTTCATCCTTCGGTCTCGAGTGTTGAAGCCTAGGGCTAGCGATTGAAACTACAGGTGAGGTAGCATCTAGCGGGCACGAT